GAGAGAAAGAGAGAGAGAGAGAGAGAGAGAGAGAGAGAGAGAGAGAGAGAGAGAGAGAGAGAGAGAGAGAGAGAGAGAGGAGAGAGGGGGGTGGGGGGTGGGATGGAGAGAGAGAGAAGGCACCCATTCGGTATGAAGAACTAGTGCAGAACTTTGTGTCGAGAAACTTCAACTTTGAAGAAAGATCAGAAGTGTACGGTGCAGTACTTTGTGTCAAGAAAAAAAGAAAGCCTGATCAGGTGCAATCCAATTGAAAAGAAGGCGAAGAAGCCAACAACAGCCAGAGATAACTTTTGTCGAGACAGAGAGACAGAGACATAACAGAGACAGGGAGAGAGACTGAGAGAGACAGAGATGGGAGGGTGGGGGGGGGGGGGGGGGGCAGGACGAGCTCCGACGGTGCTCACTCCACTGCTCGCAAGCTGGGACCAAGGGCAAGGAGGATAATGGGCTCTGATCTGAGTAGCCTCCACGATCAATGCCATGGCAACGGGCATGCCAGACATGGGCCGGGACTAGCGGGAGAGCACAGCATGATTCAAAGACTGGAAAGTGAAAGTGACTGAATCATCAAGCTGTATGGTCGTCGGTCGACAACCACCAAGGCCAGGGCAAGGAGGGAAAGGATGGGAACAAGCTAGAATTTCAATGGGGAAATCCCTTCTGTAGCTCGGTGCCTCACGTGTGCACGGCCCAGGCCGCCTAGGCCATTGTATTTTGTAGACCGTTTTGTAGACCACCGCGTGCGGCGTGCGACTGCGAAAGCCAAAGGCAAAGGTGCGTTGTCGACAGTCTTGTTGTAGTCTCGTACGAGTACGAGTAGTCACTGTACTGTAGATCTACACGTAGATCTACGACTGGGAAAAAGAATGCGCTCTGCCATCTTGGAAGATGGTGCTCGTCTTGATGTGGCGGCATCTGGTGTCTGGGGAAGTCGTTTTGAGCGCACGTTCTGTGATGTTCGGGTTTTTAACCCTCATGCGCGCTCGAACACTTCCTCAACTCCCGCGTCCACCTATGCCAAGCAAGAACAGCAGAAGAGAAGGCTACGAAGAACGCCGTCAGGGAGGTGGAGCATGCTTCCTTTCTCCCACTGGTATTCAGTGCATCTGGTGGGTGCGGCAAGGTAGCCCACGCTTTCCTGAAGCGTCTTGGCCATATGGTTTCGGAGAAGCGGCATGAACCCTACTCCTCCGTCATGTCCTGGATCCGCTCTCTTGTCTCCTTTGCTTGGTTCGATCCTGCAACATGAGCCTCCGTGGTCACCGTGCTTCTCCCTACCGCAGTCGTTTGGATGCTGCCACTCCTGTTGTGCTGGCAGTCAACGACTGTCAGTTGCGTGACTCTTGCGGAGTAGCCGTGTCTAGCCACACTTTTATTATCCGATGATTTTGTTTTGTTTGCTATGATTCCGTGATTTTCTGTTGGTTGCTTTTCTGCTGTGTGAATTCGCGAGTTTGCAAAAAAAAAAAAAAAAAAAAAAAGAATGCATAAATGACAGATCCGTAGACCCGGGTGCTCGAATCAGAAACGATTTGACAGGTGTGCAATTTCTCATCTGTAAATCTCAACAATGTCAGAATATACTTTTGGAGAGGCGATGGAACAGGGAAGAGAGTCTGGCTTGACCCACCCAGCAGGAATTCAGAACCTGGGTGCGCTACAACACAAGCTACAGTACGCCGTAAAATTGTCGTATTTCCTTCGGATTTTTTATTTGAAAATTGGGTGCTCGAATCAGAAACAGCGAACTCGTCAGATCGTCTCCGATTCAAGCACACGGGTACGGGTCTGCCATCGTCTACGCTTGGTGTGGCAGTTGAGGGCAGGGAGTAGTAACTTACTACTTCATTTTTGAGAGCAAGATGGTCAGTGGAGCCGCAGATTCAGCAGGTCTTTGGCAGCACCGTACAGGAGACCCATATCCTCGAATCAAGGACCCAGCAAAAAGTGGGTCGCGAGTATTTCAAAAAGTGTTTACCGGGCAGCGCTGAAATTTGGCATACCGTTAGCAGGCCGTATGTTGATGGTATTTGTGAAAAATAAACGAAATCGGAACAAGTTTAGGTACAATTTCAGGGTGTTTCTGTTTTGGTACCCTGTGTCTCATTCGAGCACCCGGGTCTACGAATATAATATCAAGAGTAGAATCTACAATGTGATCGGAGTGACAATCAGGGAGTAGTACAAATACCATTATTAATTTTTGTACTACTCCCTGGTGACAATTAATTTGAGAAGTATCGCAAAAAGTATCAGGTTCTATCACCTGTTTTTAATAGTGGAAGTCATGTACTTTTCGTCTTTTAGGTTGAAAAAGCACAAGTACTAGTACCGGTAGTCCGATCAGTTGGACTACAAGGGCGGCGTTGAGATCTCCTGATTTCTCGATCAACAGTGCCTTCCAGTTCGATCACGAACACCCTGGTCCATGCAGGCACAATGGGTTACTGGAAAAATCCATCTGTGCCTTTGTCGAAGCGGTATGTTCCTGCGAAGGGTGAGCACATCGCCAACATTGTTACGCAGGCGGTGAGTAACTTGATTGAGTTTGCTTGCGAGGAGTGTTGCCTGGTTCTCACAATATCAAAGGACTTCATGCTTCCTCGTACGAGTACAATGATACTCATGTGAATATGAAACTGCAGTGCCTTTGAGAATATGCCAAGAAAGTATAAATCAATGGGATGCCACGCGCACCCGAGCTTTGAAGATAAATATAGTATGCCACTACTTTTCAGCATTCACTGTAGCTTTTTGTGGACTCTCACAGAATGATTGAAAATGATAAATGATCACTGTATATAAACACAATGTACATTCATTAGTTGGAGGGAGTTGTAAGCGGGAAAATTACTAGTACAAGTCTGCTCTCGATAATATAATAACAACTCTCATTTGTACAGTTGTACGTAAACCTCGCTAGTACGTAAACAAATCAAGTCCCGCGCCGAAACAGCATCACTCCCATACAGATTTTGTTCCACGCAACGTTATCCTACATAACGTAAGCCTCGACATAACGCACGCTACGGCGCGGTCCCCGATGTGCGCACTCTCGATACAACGTAGATTCACGTGCGCGGTACAATCATTCAAGCTGTAGCTGTAGCTAGCCAGTTTAGTCCTATTGTGCATGTATTCTGCGGCATTGATTGCATCTGATGTCGATGGCGGTTCAGTGTGTATATGTTTGCATGGTTAAATCCGCCTTGTAATACCCTTCATTTCGAGGTGTGTTTTGTGACTGAAGTTATGGAGTTGTTGCCAGCACCACTACAAGTTACTCCTGTAGCCTAGTGTATTGTAAAACATGTAAATCTCACGAGGAAGTAAATCTAACGTTTTAACGAGTGACATTTCTTCGTTATACATGTAGTAAGTTCTGTTGTAGCTGTAAGGCCTCATACATGTACATGTATGTGTTATGTGCGGATATGCCTGAGACTGTAAGATCGTTAACGTATCTTCTCGTTAACCTGTGGATTTTGGACAATCGTTGAATTTGCGACTCCTTATAATAACATGTCTTGCAGTAGGAGCCTGGAGGTTAGCGGGACCGTCGGATTTCATTGCGCAGCACTGTAGTTGGTAGTTGCCGGTACACTGATCAGCTGTGATGCTGTTTCTTTGCTGCCTATTGCTGTGGTGTTGTCGTGCTCGTAGATATCAGTTACGATAGCCGTGCCGCTGTGGCTGTACGTCCTGTCACAAGTATACAACTCCACGTATGCGCTGACCGTGTTCTTTCTGCACGGCCTCTCCTACATCCTGATGTTCCTCATCTCTATGCAGTTTCACATTGTCAGCCTGTTTGAATGGGGGTAAGTGCCATGCAGCGAATTCAACGTACTGTGAAGGCAAGTGAAATCCAGCCACGTGAAGAATACTGGAGTTGCGTTCACTGCACAGACCTATTGCTTGCAGGGCTATGGTTGTGCAGCCAACACAGCTGGTATATCCACGAGGTTGGATTTTACTAGCCATGCTCTTGCCTTTGGTCGTGGCGTTCCTTGTCGTCCCACTTTACTGTTAATGTCGTCAAAGCACACAGTGTTGGCCAATGCTGGAAGTAAGGAAGGATCTTGGGCTCCGACTACAGCACCACGGTTGATTGTTTTCAAGTTCCGCGAAAAGGAAGTCAGTGTGTTCTGTAGTGGATGAAGTAGATGAGTTTAGTGATCGCTACCGTACTTAGATAATGTAGATGTATTTGATGACATTATTTTCATCCGTTGACATGAGGGAAAATCTTGTATGTGGGAGATATCAGATATGTTAAATAGGCCAATTTCCCGCATTCATACCGGTATACGGAAGACAGCTAGAGGGCAAAGCATATAAATCAGACTTTTCGAAGGCAAAGCACCCCTGTCTATGGGTAGCTTTGTACTCATTGCGTTTATCAAAAATTTAAAATCCATGCTGTGAAGTGTCGTTTTAAGGGTCCGGAACCGAAACAGTATTGTATCTTCCTTGTTAGAGACCATTAGCAAACCGCCATGCTTACGGTCGGACGATTGGACAGCTCCGATTTCCAATCGTCAAAGCATGCACGGCACGAAGCCGTGCGTTGAACCATTCAGGCGCATGATTCGGGTGATGCGTGATGCAACCGGAATCGTAATCGTTTCGTGATCACCCGTTGGGGCTGCTCCAACCGTGCTCACGGAACGATTCGAGTTTCACGCATGCTGGCCTCGTTCCCAGTTTGTCCCAATCGTCGCGCCCGACGGTTTGCTAATGGTCTCTGTTTTCTCAACGTGTTCTCCGTGTCTTGTGCAGTACACCAAGGATGATCCGCTGGCATTTGTACGATCGCCTTGTTATCTATTTCATCATTGCAGCAGGATACACACCCTGGTAAGTGTGTCACCTAACACAGGCTAGCAGCACATTCATCTGCCTCCAGGTATCAAGCATACACACATACCTGCACGCACGCGCATGCACGGGTGCGTGCACAGACACACCTTCGACTTTATATGCGTATCGCCCCAGAAGTGATGATAACGATGGCACAGCAGAAGCCATGGAATCTTGTGCTTGCATTACACCTTTCCACAGATTTCCAGGAAGAAGAATTGACCGCCTCTACAGTCCGTTAATAAAAACATGATATCCTAACCGTCAGCTTTTGGCCACAAATGGGTCATAATTCGCGCTATTGTACAATGTCTGTATTGTATACCGGTATGAAGCCACGACTTGTACCGTCAGCATGTATAATATGTAGGGCTGAAACGATTACCATGTTTTCCCCAATACCGTACGCGCTCGAATACAAGCCCCCCTTTGAATAGAGCCCAGCCCGTGTCCGAGGGAATCGGAATAATAAAGCCCCCTCTCGTATAAAATACATCAAAATTTTCAGTGGGATCGAGTCGATCGGAGCTACGGCGGCGGGGAACGGCACGCTTGATTGGAGTGAAGCCATTAGCAAGTTACTTGTGGTATCCCTTTTTACTTCTATCACCAGAAAAGAACAATATGCATGAGGAATTTGAATTGCATTTTCGCTGGAGCTTATGACTCATATCTTACCATGTTGGAAACCTTGATGGTGCGTTGTGTCAAGTTGTGTGTAGTATAGGAAGGTCTAGGGCGCAGTAATCGATATCATAATTGATAATCGAATCGATACAAGGGTAGTTTAACCGATAGTTGAAAAGTGTAACCGTTTCACCCCTAATGATATGCTATGTGTTTGTATTTGTCTGTGTATAGGTTGACCATACCACATTTGCATGGTCTGGCAGGTATGCACATGTGGTGGCTAGTATGGGCACTGGGCATCCTCGGTGCTGTCTATTCCATCTATCTGCTAAACTGGTAAGTACACAGACAGTCCACAGTTCAATGCATCCTATAACTTCCTAGAAGTACCGTATTTTCCAGAGTACCGGTCTAAGCCGCACTGGAGTAGAAGCTACACTCAGTTTTTTTTGTCACGAAATACAGACACCTACCCAGTTTATCACGGTCAATTTGACCAACGTAGAATAAGCCGTACCGGCCTTTTTGGGGTGTCTAAAGTGCGGCTCATACTCCGGAAAAATTGTTCATTGGCAGAATGTCCGACCTTGTCGTTTTTTAAACTTGTCCACAGGATATCACGGTCGTGTAGCGCACTCAATATTTTCCTGTATGTACTGCGACTATTGTACAATTGATTGGGAGTTTGAACTATTGTTTGCGTGTTTTCCTCTTTCTGTATGAAATGGTGCATTGCACAGGTCTAAGGTATTAGAGACAACAATATATACAACGTACGGAGTGCTGCCGTTCTGGCCCCTCTACACTGCGGTAAGTTGTGATTATATTGCAGCTCCCTGGAGCCTTTTTGTGTTCCCCGAAGGCAGGCAGTTGCTCAGGAGTTTCCAGACTGCTTGCATTTTTCGGCGTAAATCAACTGTGCTGTTAGGTGGTGACTAATGATGATGACTGTAAGGTTTTAGCTGGATATGCCAGCCTGCGAGTTACCTGGGTTAGCCCTGCTATACACTAGAGAGGTTCTGGAAAACTTTCTGAAAGCATGAAACGTTGTGTGACCTTTCGCTCTCTTTCTGAATGCGAAACTGGCTTGGCACGCGAAATGAATTAATCGCCTGCAGGAAATCCTTAGGCTGTCATCACACCACGGTACAAAGCGCTGCGTCTACGTCCACGTAAGGAGTTTTTGGTCGGTTGTCATGATGATCCATGTACGGAGTGAAAGCGGGAGCAGAGGAAACGGGAAACGTAGACGTGGTAGGGAGAGAGAGAGGGGGGGGGGGGGGGGTACAACTGTTTTGGATGAACGTGCGTATCTCCCCCAGTCTTTTTCCACGCGACCTCGTACTTGCGCGTGAATCTTCAAATTTCTCCAAAAACGTGACCGCGTGTACGGGTAAAGAACTGTGCCTGCTTGATGACACGACCACCCGTTTCGGATTTTTTACCGTAGACGTGAACGGGAGTCAGAGAACGTAGTGTGATGACGGCCTTATTGGCAGCATTGTGTTTTCGTCAGCATCTACGGAACATTTTTTCGTGAGAATTTTCACCTCAATTTCGCAGCTTTTTTTTTCACGGTTCGCGTGAGACCGGTTTCTCTACATAGAGGCCGAGTTTTCCGCATCCGTAGGAACGCCGCCACCACCACCCTTCGCAGCTTTTATAGAAAAAAATATTTCTAAGAGCTATTGTTTTGCAAAGCTCTCTACACGCCCCATTGTAAGACCGATCGGTCTATAATCTGTTCGTCAAGGATATATTGCGCATTTCAGCTGTATGGTAACTACTAGTTCTGCAGGGTTTGGTCTGACCAGTGAAACTAAAATACTTGAATCTTTGGCTTGTGTGTGGATGTTGCATGGTGACAACGATGTACTCTAGCCTCTCCTTTGCTCTCATCCGCTCATTCTACCTTACCAACTTGTTTCTCTTCTTTTCAGATGGTGCCTGGAATCGAGCATATTGTTTATGGTGGAATCGCGATAATTATCATTGGCGTGCCGTTGTTCAAACTTGATGGCCATGTTCCCTGTTCGCACGCTCTCTGGCATGTGTGCGTGTCGGTGGGTTGCTTATGGCACTGCTGGGCTGCCTACACATACTTGGTGCCCATTGCAATGTTCGCCTAGGCCCAGTTCGGTGAGATATGTCCGCCAGCAGATTTCAAGATGGCTGACCTGCACTTTTGGAGTTCATTCCAACCGGCTCCTGTTTTGCAGTCCGAATGCTTATGTCCGAGGTCAAGCTTGGTACTTCTAGTAAACTCTGCTGCCTTGCGAACGTCACTCTCGTACAGGTCCATATAAATCTTGGCATGCACCATGCGAACAACACTCTAGCATAGTTTTTGGTCGGAATTCTGGTGCCACCAACGGTGAGGCTGCTTGCTAGCAATGCAGTTACCGCCTTGTGCACCAATAACACTTCACAACACTTCACAAAACTTGAGGCTTTCGACTTGATGATAATTTATTTCCTGGATGTTCTTAGGGGTCCAGATCTAGTATTCATTTTCCTATTCTACTTCCAAGTACAAATTTGTCGAGCGGACTTTATTTAAACGTTTAGGAATTTAGTCAAGTTTTCGAGTACTCTAGCACTGCTTTGTTAACCAAGCTGCTGGTTAATGATTGCATGTTGAATTATTATTATTATTATTATAGTGGCAGCCCAGTGGTCTATTTTTATACTAACAATTCTTTAATTTATCCCTAGCCTTTATTTATTGGCACAGACAGTCAAGAGAGATTGGTACGTCGTGAAATAAATACTTTCATGGAAGTACGGTCATGTGGAATGAAGGCCTGATAGTTGGCAAGCCGTATAGACCTATACATAAATTATGTGAGTTGTGAAAAGGGCTATTAGAAACTAGCAGTTGACCATAAGTTATCCGTCATCAACAAGGTGTCCAACAGAGTGTTCTAGCATCAAGGGACATTGCATGAGAGTACAGTAGAGTCGCGCGCTGAAGAACGTGGAGCCCAAGAACGCCACAGCCTAAAGCTGAGAACTGCGGTGTTGGTTTTCTGGCAGCTTGTGGGGTACATAATGATCCAGTATGGATTGTTCCTAAGAACGTGCTATAAGAACGCAGCCAGATTGCTGAAAAATAAGAACGTCCCAGGCTAACCCCTTGGAAACAACGTTCTTGGGCGCGCGACTCTACTGTATGGGGTCTCAACGATGTGTGCTTCGACCACAGAGTTCTTTTAAAAGTTTTATGTGATGTGATTCGTGTTCTCTGCCACATGCTGTCACAAGTTCTCACAATCATGGCCGCCGCCGTGACCTGCGGGATGGTCAGCCAGATCAGGGATGTATTATTATAGCGTGCATACATCAGCTCTGCCTCTCAGGGTGACTGGACCGGGCAGCACGGGAGCGAAACCCACATTGGCATCGTCACTCGCGCCTGTGACGTCTCCCTGCATCCTACAACAAGTAACACCTCCCGATCATGAAGTTAGTCGGGAAGCATGACACACTTGGTATGGCTTTGAGTGTTCAGCCAGAGATTGTGTTCATGCATGGTGTTCTGTTCAAGCATCGCCAGCCCACCTCTTTAGAGCACTTGGCCATAATGGTGATCTGAAGCAGTGGAATGTGCACTGCATATTTGCATGTCCAAGATACTCCGAGCCACAAGGGCTTGGGCAGTTGAGCACCGTTGAAGCCTTCTCGTCGGCGCCGATCCCAAGCTTAGCTAATGCAGTCCGAATGCTAGCTGTGGCTGTGGGCGGCAAACGAAAACTCCGGACGCATATCGTACTCCGCACGGCTCACATTCTTATGGCACTTGCCAGAAAAGTCATGCAGCCGTGTGTCCTGCATATGGGGGTATGTACAGCACACATACTCGGGCAGATATGACCAGGAAAGTCACTCCAAACTTCAGGTGAGGTGTGTACCGGCGACGTACCTTTAATGAACCACAAGTAACAGTTATATAGAGTGCAACGTCAGTTTCCAGAGGTCCCCTACAGTAGAGGCGTCTCCATCTCACTGCTCTGCTGACCCCGGGACGCTCGCGGTCTTCGGCGCTTTTTCGACAGCCTGTCCGGATGGATAGGGGGCAATGAGCTCTTTTTCCGCCTCGGCACGTCCGGAAACTCTGCAGCTGCTTCAGCAGCACTTGCAGCATGCGGGCTGTGGACCTCCTGACGGGGTGATGCAGCATCTAACATGTCATCTACACCACCTGGCAGCGGCATGGTCAGAAGAGCATCGCCTGGCTGAGGGCTATACTGAAGATCATCGCCTGGCTGAGGGTTGTATGGCAAAACATCACCTGGCTGAGGGCTATATGGCAGAGTGTCACCTGGCTGAGGGCTATACGGCAGAACATCGCCTGGCTGAGGGCTACTCTGCTGTTGTGCTGTCCTTGCATCCACAACAGGGCTAGTTGGATGATGCACATCACCAAAGAGTGATGTTTGGTCACTAGTGAACTTTCCAGGTGAGCCATTGGTGGGCATGGGTGTCTCCGTAGGTATAACTATTGCTTCATCAACGAGACCTGTCTTCTCTGCGGTTATTCGACCCGTGTCTGTTTCATCTGCACTGCTCTGTTGGATGCATTGACCTGAGGTGACATCCGCGTTGCTATACTGCTCTTCTGCATCTCCGCCTATAACCATGTCTTCCTTTGTGGGGTCAGTATTTTGAGCGTGGTTTCGGTCGGGGGTGGTCGAAGGCATCTCCACGGCTTGCGGCACCCCATCGGCGCGGGACTCGATGGCTGGAGTGTGTTCTGTTATTGACCTTTCCGTCCAATCATGCATTGTGCTGGTGTTGTTCACGACGTTCTGATCATCTAGATGAGATCGCGTGGTCCGCCGGCTGAACAGAGCACTTGAACTGTCAGGCCGAGTCGCAGCATTGTTGGATACTTGCTGCGGAGTGTTGCTCTTAGCGTGAACCACGCCAGGACGTCTGCCGCCGGAGAGTGAGTGAACACTTGCAGACGAGCTGGTGGCAGAAGGTGGCGATCTGAACGTGTCAATCATACTCTTGGGTTTCGGTGGCGGCGTGTCAGGTCGCGCTGGCACTGCAGCAGGGGAACCACCTGGTGCACCGCCATTGTCGACGCCAAGCATTGACGCCTCCCGAGTGTGAATCTGAAACAGTTCCATTGTCTGGCGGCGTGTGGCTGTGCCGCTGCTCTCCCGGGCGATGAGCTGCTCTCGCATGCTCAAATCCACGGACGAGGTTTCGCTGTGCAGGTCATCATCCGGCGAGACTATCATGGCCTTTCTGCGTCTGTTCTTCCGATCTCGCAAGAAAATGATCACTATAGCCAGAACCAGGAGCAGCACAAGTGCTATGACTATGGGTATGTAATACGGTGTCTCTGTCGGCGTTGTTTGTTGCTCGATTACAATGGCTGCAGAAAAGACATAGAAAGAATTGCGTGGCAGAGATTAGAGGATTGGTTGTAGCTCGACTAACGTTCCTTTAGGAAAGGAAATTGACTCCACTACAACAGTACATCATTTTCAGGATGCAGTAGCTGCAATAATTCTTTCGAAAAATAAGGCCTTTCAACTTCTGCTAGCATGTTTCAGGGATGGTTTTCGAATTGTGGATGTAGTAGCAGTAGTACTGTAGGAGTAGTTTTCATTATTTTACTAGGGGGAAGTCCCAACAGGCAACTGCCGTTTTACTGGAGGAGTCCCAACAGGCAACTGCCGTTTTACTGGGAACCTACAGTAAAAGTCCGTAAATCAGTACCTGCCCGAAAGAAATATCCCCTTCATTCTTTTGGCTCTGTCTGTTGAAGTCAAGTCAAGCCCGATAAACATACTGCCGAAATAAGTACCGGTACGGTGCGCACATGCAGCACGTAGCATGCCCATCGACATGAAAATGACTTCTCCGCTACACACAAGTCAGGTCCGAAAGTCAATACCCGCCCGAAAGTTAGTACGAGTGTGGTCACTAAATTCGAAAGTAAATACGTCTTATTTACGGACTTTTACGGTACTTCAGTAGGAACATGAGCACCACCACCTGCAGCACATCACACTAGCAGATCAATAAGCTTGCGCACACCATCAGCACCACGGGGAAGACACTACACCGTTGACGATATTGATAATCACTGCACCCTCCACTCCAGACAGCTGCTTCTCTTCACTGCATGATTCAATGACCAAGAGCCGTGTCGCAACCCATGCTGGAATATTTCGGATGATTGGGTATGTTCGTGGTATCATCTTTTTTTACTGGTATTAAACCAATGTCACATTAAATAACGGATGTTATGCGAATGGTCACGGTCATGGTGGTGACTGGTGAGTCAGCAGAACTACTTATGGGCGCTGCGAATACAGCATGACCGCATGTGGGCGCTGTGTATACAGCTTGAGTCAGCGGTGTCCTTGGTTTTGCTCGAGCCTGCGCGACGCTGTGCCACGGCCTTGCCAAAGCATCTCAACTGATGGTGTAATCGCACAACCTCTATGCAAAGATCAACTCTAAGTTGTTATTCTGCAACCGGTACCCTCTCTATGCCTTGAGTCGCATTGCTTTTGATGAGCTGGACCCCACCCAGAGCATGCAGTTAGCACTCAACACTAAACTCATATTCCCTACGGTCTTACTTACGTTCACATCCAGTTTGTGGGTTCAGATTGTAGCCTTCTAGGCAAGCCTCACACTTGCTGCCAGTCGCTCCCTCTTTGCACGAGCACGCACCAAACTCGTCGCATACGTCCGCATTGTCCACGGTGTTAATACGCTTGCAACAGCAGGCTGTGGGAGTGAAACGCAGAAAACAGATCTACATTGCACGCCCACCCACCATTCGCGTAATACTTGTACACGTTAATACCGTGAATCAAATCGTCAAGCTGTTGTGTAGCTGGTAGCAAGGCTGCTGACTCCGGTGGCCTGTGTGTTATCCCATAGCGCCCACACATGTATGCACGCGCACACACACACACACACACACACACACACACACACACACACCCACACACACCCTGTACACACACACACACACACACACACACACACACACACACACACACACACACACACACACACACACGCACGCACACACACACACACACACACCCTGTGCACACAGATCTATAAGTTAAATGTCAAAGATCTCTCACACTACATCAATAGGGGAGGCGACACATACTGCATGTACAGTAACTGGCCACGGGACATGAGTGCATGACACTTGGCGTAGGCCATGACGCAAGCTGTGAGCCCATCTGTTCTCTTGATTTCTTACCATGGCAGTATGTTCCCGTTGTGTTGTAGCACGTGTCAAATAGAGAATCAGCCACGTAGTAGCCACGTCGACACTCTTGGCACGCTGCTCCTCTAGACTCAGGTTTGCATAGGCACTCGTAGTCAGTTGTGCGATCCAGGCATGCCGCAGTTCCGGGCAGATAGCACGGACACAGAGTGCAGTTGCTGCTGTCACCGCCTCGTCCGAATCCGTAGTGGAAATCAACACATCGGTGACACTGGTGGCCCGTCACACCGCTCTGGCACTGGCACTGTCCCGAGGTTGCGTGGCACGCGCCGGTGGCCAGAGTTCCTGCGGCACTACAGTTGCACGGTGCACAGGGTATGCTGGCATTGAGCCGATGGAAGCCGGCTGAGCAGACGCTGCAGTCAGCGCCCATAGCAGAGGACACACACTGGCATTTCCCTGTGTTGCTCTCGCACACCGTACCCGCATTGGTTCCGTAAGAATCACAGTCGCAACGCTCACAGGGAAGAGTGCTGTTAAGTCTGTAGTAGCCACTGGCACACTGCTCGCAGCGAGTACCATTGGACGATGACAGGCAGCGGCAAAGTCCCGTGTCCTTGTCACAGGCGCTTCCGGGCACAGCTCCACGCTCATCACAGTCGCACGGTTGGCATGACGGTGGAGAGCCGAAATGATCATCTAAGCAGCCATCACATGTCCTGCCGGTCACGCCTGACTTACACAAACATTGTCCCGTGGTCGGAGCACAGTTCACTCCCAGCACAGCACCTGCACCGTCGCAACCACACAGTCCACACGTGGGGAAACCGAAGCGGTACTCTCCGCAGCGGTCGCAGAGCCTCCCTACTACTCCGGGTTTGCAGGAGCAGTAGCCCAGTGCAGGGGTGCATGTAGTACTGGCACTGCCCAAAGCATGGCAGCTGCAGGGAAGACACCCACCACTACCCATCTCCAGTCCGTAGTAACCAGCCTTGCATGTATCGCACTGCGGGCCAATCACGTTGCCAATGCATGTACAATCTCCGGTGTCACGGTGACAGTTGCTACCGGCAACGGTGCCTTTTGAATTGCAACGGCAGGCAGCGCACGGCGGACGTCCATAATGCCCTGGCTTGCATTGGTCACACTTTCGGCCGTCAACGCTCGGCGCACATGGACACTGGCCACTGAGAGTATTGCACACAGCACTGGTGCTTCCCTCCACATTGCAATCACACGGTGTGCACGAGGGGAAATTGTAGAACAACGGTGCACACTGGTTACAGCTGGTACCGGTGACATTGAGCATACATTGGCACTCACCGCTGACCGGGTCACAGATCTTGTCACTGCTTCCACTCTCGTTACACTGGCATGCCGTGCAGCCATGCAGTGTGCGAGCATCACCAAAGAATCCGTTCGAACAGCTCTCACAGTTCGGCCCCGCAGTGTCATGGGCACAGTTGATACACGTGCCGGTCACAGCGTCACAGAGAGCCGAGTGTGTGTTGCACTGGCACGGCTTGCACTCGTGTTGTCCTCCCTCGCTGCTGCTTGTCGTGTACCCGCTAGCGCAGTGCTCACACTGTAACCCACTATAACCATCAGGGCATGTACAGTTCGGTTGCGGCCCAGAAGCTGCATCCACAGGCTCTGCTGCTCGGCACACAGATGAACGTCCGCTGCAATTGCACGGCCGGCATCCCGCGCTGGTCAAGAAGTACGCTCCGGGTGCACAGCTGTCGCACTGTAGTCCCACTGCAAGAGCCTTGCATCGGCACTGGCCTGTGTTTGGATGGCAGTCTCTGTCAAGGTGGCTACCGGCACTGTCACAGCTGCAGTCTGCAGGTATATAAACAGCACAGAGAAAAGAGATCATTTTTTTTAAATACTGATGAAGATAGAAAACCCTTACTGCGCCATTGCCAGCCACTGGCTACGCTACACTGTGCTGTTCTGTGCTGTGCTAAACGGGCGGAGCACAAAGACTAGTAGAGACATTCGTACAGCGTGCCAGGAAGTGTGTTTCGCTGACTCGGTATGTAATATGCGTGTATCTTACTTTGACATTGCAGCGATTCGCCACTCCAGCTGCCATTTGCCAAGCAGTTCAGCAAGTGATTTCCACTCACTCGTCGAAATCCTGGCAGGCACGTGATGTTCACCGTACTGGAGAATGCCGTGCTCTGACTGGAGAGTGTTGTGTTTGCCAGTGTGAGCACTGGACAATGCATAACACTGCATGTTGGTGGGCTTGTCCACGCACCACTGGCCAAGCAGCGCACACTAGCATGGCCCTGGGTGGAGTATCCCTCATCGCACAGCACCTGCGCTACACTAGAGTACGTCACGGCGACAGGCTGTCCGGCGCCAAACTGGGAGTGTGGGCCGAGCATTGGCACTGCTGGACATGAGACCACGTGGCAGGCGGGAGCTGGTAGGGACCAGTTACCATCTGAAGTGCACTGAGTTGACAGTGACCCCAGCAAGCGATACCCAGCATCGCATCCATACACTACTTTTGCACCGTAAGTGAATGCACTGCCAAGGAAGGAGCCATTCTGAGGACGATTTGGCTCACCGCAGGAAATTGCTGTAATAAACAATAAACAACAATAAAGTAGGATTCAAGGACGGAAACGACTCAGGTCTGCTCGTATCTGACCTACAGAAGCCAGACTAATGATATTAAGCAGGTATGCCAATATACCCCTGTTGTGTCTCTAACCAAGAGACTGTGGGTTCACACGTAGAGTTTACATACAAGTTTATTCTACGGTTGCAAAGCAATAAGAAGCGTTAAGGTATGATTGTGCTAGAGGATATAGGAGTTGTATCCCGGGTGCGGGATGCGTTGGGTGTTGGGTGGCAGTACAATGAATTGCTATAGAGAGTTCATGCCTAAGCGGTTGTGGTTTTAGGGTGGATCAATAGTACTTGCAATTAGATGAATACATGTCTGGTACATACACTACATTCCTCCCCTAAATGTTATGGTACATGTTGAGCTACGAGGTATTCCTATACGGCATAACATTTAATGCACAAGAAGAAAAAGCGGATGAGCTGAGAGCACGGGACAGCAATTGTGTGAGCAAGAAGCAATTCAGTCTCTCAGGCGAGCCGGCAGGACTCGGGCTCTCGGCGGGTTACGGCGGGGTTCAGTCGTATCTTGTGCCAGCGGCGACTGGACCTGCTGCGTTGCCGTAGTTGCAGCTACTGGTATTTGCGCAGGCGGAGGTGTTGGAGTAGCAGCGGCTTGGACACTGGGTGGTGTCGGAACACTAGCTGGCGAATGAGCAGTCGGAAAGCACAAACTGTGATCCGGTTCTGCCACGGACGGCAAAAGCGCTGTGTTCATCGGTACGGATGATTGCGGAGCGGAGTCGGCTGACCGGAGCTGTTCAACATGGCGCCTCCATTGCTGGTCTGGGCCAACTTCCACTGTATAGTGGCGGAAGCCGTGTACCGCTTGCACTGTGCCCTGAATCCACGGGTGTGGTGCGTTGGTGCGGTAGTCACGTACCATGACGGTGTCATCCACAGCAAACGTGCGCTCACGGTTCGCTGATCTTGCACTACGCTGAGCTGTCTGTTTCTTAGCAACAGATGCCTGGACACTGGGTTGAACCAGCGACAGCCGAGTGCGTAGCTCCCGGTGCATTAGCAGGGATGCTGGTGTGGCATTCGTTGTAGCATGGGGTGTGGTGCGATAGGCCAACAGGAAGCGAGGCAAGAACTCAAGCGGTGCTGTGGCAGAATGGGACCTGAGTGCCTGCTTCATTGTACGCACAAATCGTTCAGCCAACCCGTTAGTCGCTGGGTGGTACGGTGCTGAGAACGTGTGCGTTATGCCGTTGGCTTCTGTGAAACGGCGGAACTCATCGGCAGTAAACTGCGGGCCGTTGTCACTCACGATCTGGTCCGGCAGGCCATGTTGAGCAAACACTTCTCGGAGACGGCGTATGGTAGCCGGGGCAGTGGTGCTGCTCATTGGGAGCACTTCTGGCCACTTACTGTGGGCGTCCACCACAATCAGCCACATGTGCCCTTGGAACGGCCCGGCAAAATCAATGTGGAGACGCTGCCATGGCTTGGACGGCCACTCCCAGGGATGTAGCGGTGACTTCGGTGGCGCCGCCTGGTGCGCCTGACAGCCAAGGCAGGCCTTGCCGGTCTGCTCGATGTCTGTGTCGATGCCTGGCCACCATACAAAGCTGCGGGCTAGTGCTTTCATCCGAACCAGCCCAGGATGGCCACTGTGCAGCTCCTCCAGTACTCGGTGGCGCAGTGGGGAAGGAATGACGACACGGATTCCCCACATGACACACCCTTGGTGTAGGCCCAGCTCATCTTTGCGTCGTACAAACGGTTGCATGTCATCGTCGGTTGTTGACAGGGCCCGTCCGGTGCTGACACTGGTTAGGACCTTGGCGAGAACTGGGTCACGGTTTGTGTGACGCGCAATTTCAGCTGCCGTGACTGGAAGCGGGTCGATCTGGGCCATGTTGAACACGTCTGCCCAGTCTAGGCTCTCATCCTGTGGTGAGTGTGGCAACGGTAGGCGTGACAGGCCGTCAGCGTTTGCATGATCGGCTGATTTGCGGTACTTGATCTCATAATTCATGCTTGCTAGGAAGATAGCATACCGCTGTAGGCGGGCCGTCGTCATGGCTGGCAATCCCTTGCTAGGACTGAAGATGGCTGTCAGCGGCTCATGGTCCGTCAGCAGGACGAACGGTCGGCCAAACAGGTAAGTGTGGAATTTGCGGACGCCCCAGACAATAGAGAGCGCCTCCTTATCGATCTGGGCGTACCGCTTCTCGGTGTCTGTCAGGGACCGTGACACGAAGGCAATCGGCCTTTCCGTACCATCCGGCATGATGTGCGAGAGCACCGCCCCCAGGCCATATGGCGATGCGTCGGTTGCCAACTGCACGGGCAGATCGGCATCAAAGTGCATGAGGACCTGATCCGAGGCGATGGCTGCCTTGATAGCCTTGAATGCAGCCGCGCATTCAGCTGTCCAGCGCCAGGACTGACCCTTCCGGAGCAGGTTGTTGAGTGGATGCAGGGTCGTGGAGCAGTCTTTGAGGAAGCGCTGGTAGTAACACACCATGCCCAAGAAGCTCCGTAGCTGGGACACGTTCTGCGGTGCTGGGGCTTCGTTGATAGCCTTGACCTTGCCATCAGTCTTGCGCAAGCCGTGCTGCTGGCCAGGGGACACGGTTGCGGAGGGGACGTCAGCCATCTCGACCTGGAACAAGCGCTGCCAGTCGAGAGCGATGTGGGCAAGCAGGTCCCGGCCACAGAGCGCTGTCCCCTGCGTGTCCACCACATGCAGTGGTAGCTCCGCGGATTGATGGTAGTATTCCACGCGTGTTACGAACGTTCCGCGAGGATGCACGGGCTCGCCGGTGTACGTACGCAACTTCAGCTTGCTCGCGGTGAGAGGCGAGGCAGACAGCGACTTTCGATAAATCGCACTCGGAATGATTGACACCGCAGCTCCAGTGTCAACCTGCATGCGGACCGACTGGCCATTGACGATAGCATCAATCCAAAGTGCCTTCCGCACGGTCGTGGGTGTCGTTTCATCCGTGGCGACTGCTGGCGCTTGAAGGACGTCTGCGGCTACAAGAGAAAGTGAATTGAACTCGTCGTCGTCCGCGACATCGACAGCTAAGCTGTGGCAGGCGCTGCTACCACTTGAGCGTTTCGCTGAATCTGTCGATCTTTCCGCGAGGCGCTTCTTGCAAACCTTGCGGAGGTGCCCAGTCTTCCTGCAGTGGCGGCATTCATATGCCTTGAAGGGACATTCACTTGCGCCGTGTGCCGTCGAGCCACAGCGGAAGCATGCTGAATAGCTCGTACGGGATTGACCTGAGTTCGCGGACTTCGCACCTCCGAACGATGGTCTGCCAGCACGACGATGTTGCGATGTGCCCAGAACGTGTACACCAGCAGCAGTGGCACTGCCCGCGAGCTCGGGTGCATCGCGAGTAGCTACCTCCAGGCTGTTGGCTTTCTCGATGGCGGTCTTCAGAGTGAGGTCCTTCTCTGCCAACAGAACTTTGCAGAGAGCTTGACTCCTGATACCACACACGAACCGATCCCGCAGCGTGGTATCCAGGACATCGCCAAACTCACAGAATCGTGCCAACCGTCGGAGCTCCGCGAGGTAGGCATTTACTGACTCTCCTTGGCGTTGATCTCGCTTGTGGAAACGGTATCGTTCCGCAATCACCAAGGGCTTCGGAGCACAATGCGCAGCCAGCGCGTCGGACAGCTCCTTCAGCATCTTGTCCTTCGGTTTGTCCGGGCTGACCAGGTCAGCCAACAGTTTGTAGGTCAAGCCACCAATCAGGGTCAGGAAGGTGGCTACTTGCCTGTCTTCGGCCACATTGTTGGCAGCGAAGTACTGCTCGACGCGGTCATAGTACGTAGACCAATCCGTCGTTCCAACCGAAAATGGTTCCATGGCTCCAATTGCAACGGCCATCTTCGTCGCCAGTTGTTGTGTCTCTAACCAAGAGACTGTGGGTTCACACGTAGAGTTTACATACAAGTTTATTCTACGGTTGCAAAGCAATAAGAAGCGTTGAGGTATGATTGTGCTAGAGGATATAGGAGTTGTATCCCGGGTGCGGGATGCGTTGGGTGTTGGGTGGCAGTACAATGAATTGCTATAGAGAGTTCATGCCTAAGCGGTTGTGGTTTTAGGGTGGATCAATAGTACTTGCAATTAGATGAATACATGTCTGGTACATACACTACAACCCCCCCCCCTCCTTATAGCGGGCCACAGGTGCTTGACCAATCACTCAAACCGTGAACCGTGAACAGCTGACAAAAAACGTGTCACAGTCAAGTTTCCCGTACCTGTAGGGGTGCTATTAAGTGAAGACCACCAGCACAACGGAGCATGCAGACCAACACATCCAGTTACCCCATAACACAGTCTGGAGACGAACGGAAGCAGCTAGCACCGGCGGCAGTAGTCCTCACTGCCCTGCCATGAGCATTGCTCTTTATTCTTGACAGTGGGATTCTATTACAAGATGATTTTGGTAACCGGTGGTACATGTACACTAAATTTACATGAGGGTTGCAAGCACAAGGCTAGCCTCATTCCACAGGTAACATAACCCTGCAGCGTCCCACAGTGGAAAATAACACTAGCTTCAAATTCTAGATGACCTGCGAGCATTCCAGCTGTGGATTAAAAGCAAAGATTCTTAAAAGATATGTCTCCATTCCCAAGGGAAATCCCAATAGCCCCAAGCGCCTGGAGTATCACCTGTGGATTAGAATGAATCAAAAGGCACTCCTTATGATATTGATTTTTAAATGCCTTGCCCTGTGTTTGGAGTTTGGTCATGAGTTGTATGCTGCCAGTAGGGCTGTGTTAATAATAAAAATAAAAATGCTGACATACCTTGGCATGCTACACTGGTGCTGTTGAATGTGTAACCTGTGCGACACTGGCAGCTGAAGGAACCCACGTTGTTGTAACAGACTGTGTCACCGGGGCACGACGTAATAACCAGGCATTCATTGATGTCTGCAGTACAAGGACATTGAAGAATAAGAAATTTAAACAAAGGGGTAAGCAGCAACATTCGGCCCTGTACAGATGTACAGATTAAGATTTCGTGTCGAGGTCGGCTAGAGGGCAGTTATGGTGAGGTGGTTGGTGAAAAATAAGTGATTTACAAAGGAAAGAAAGGCTGGAAGGGAACATTGAGCGGATGGCTCGGCCTCCCTGTTTGGTCTGCCTCGGCTGGTCCTGGTTGCGTGGTATTTCTGACCACGTGGCTGAAGCACACAGTATGTCCAGGATACGAGTATGTTTTAACTGGTGAAATACACCCTTGCTTACGGGCATCGCTGCACATATGGCCGGTGATGCAACAGCACCCCCCCCCCCCCGAGGACAGTGATATTTCTAGGTGCTACGTCATCAGTGCATGGAGCGGCATTGGAATGCAAGGAGAGCGGCATGTACCCAATGCTATGCTTGGCATCTGCACTGAAGTAAGTCAAGAGGCAGCTTTCAATGTGGATGCTTTAGAGTTCAGTGCCAGTTCAGTGGTATACTGAGGCCGGGCTATAGGGGTAGTGTATAGGGTGGTTTGTGCACATCTCTGCATGGTTCTGCAAACTGGCTGTGAGTTCACACAAACCAGCCAAGTCACGCGGCAGTTGAGCACTAAGCAACTATTCATCTGCCCAATGATGGCACATGTACAGCATCAACACAGGTCTGCAGATATGTACATGGAGCTCTAATCACAGGTCTGCAGATATGTACATGGAGCTCTAAACACAGGTCTGCAGATATGTACATGGAGCTCTAAACACAGGTCTGCAGATATGTACATGGAGCTCTAAACACAGGTCTGCAGATATGTACATGGAGCTCTAAACACAGGTCTGCAGATATGTACATGGAGCTCTAAACACAGGTCTGCAGATATGTACATGGAGCTCTAAACACAGGTCTGCAGATATGTACATGGAGCTCTAAACACAGGTCAGCAGATATGTACATGGAGCTCTAAACACAGGTCTGCAGATATGTACATGGAGCTCTAAACACAGGTCTGCAGATATGTACATGGAGCTCTAAACACAGGTCTGCAGATATGTACATGGAGCTCTAAACACAGGTCTGCAGATATGTACATGGAGCTCTAAACACAGGTCTGCAGATATGTACATGGAGCTCTAAACACAGGTGGCAGTAGACAGGCACAAGAACTCGTGTGTGACTTGCCTTCACATGTATGCTTGTCTGGTGAGAGCTGATATCCAGTCGTACACTGGCACACGAATGATCCATTGCTGTTGATGCAGTTCTGGCTACAGGGTTGAGTTGCACTGCTACACTCATCAATATCTGCATTACAGACAACAAACACAGGAAATGGAAGGTTCAGAAGACTGCATCGGATCAGCACTGTCTCACGTGAACTACAGCCTTCTATTAATTGCCCTTTATTAGAGCTGTATGGACCCTGGCTAGCGCCAGACGTTATCAGTGGTTATTGAAGCAACGTCTTTTGCATAGCTACGTGAATAAAGCTTCTGTGATTGCAGCTGATTGAAAAGAATACATGTATAACCAAAGAAATTGCTGGGACTCTATCCGGCAGAACACTGTGACTGTGAAATGGAAATGCTTTCTACCCCTGGCCCCTGCCTTCTCCCCCTGGCCCCTGCCTTCTCCCCCTGGCCCCTGCCTTCTCCCCCTGGCCCCTGCCTTCTCCCCCTGGCCCCTGCCTTCTCCCCCTGGCCCCTGCCTTCTCCCCCTGGCCCCTGCCTTCTCCCCCTGGCCCCTGCCTTCTCCCCCTGGCCCCTGCCACACAGCAATGCAAACGATTTGGTAGAGTATCTGACTTCTCATACAAAAGGAAAGGGCACAGGAGGAGAAAAGGCGAACAAAGGTGAAACGAAAAGACCAAGGAAAAAGACATGAAGAAGTAACAAAGAACAAGCAGTGATGAAGCGACGACAAATCGAGACGACCAACCAGGGACCAATACATATAGAACACATGACCGATACCAAGACAACGAGACCACGGGCGAATTACTCATCACTCTCGCTCCCAGACCAAACTAGCACTGCGCATGCACAACATTCACTTGACAGTCACTCTCACACAGACGGAAGCAGATTCTCACACTCTGACAACGCGTACTCTTGCATGCATCCCACACATGCACCATAAGCGTCACACATCACACCATACTCACACATCACACCATACTCACACGTACACTTAGACCACAGTAATATGACATCAGACATTGGACGCTACAGGACTACGGGATTTCGCAACAACTGCATTACGCTTGTGAGTGCAATCCGCCCAGGGGCGGATCCAGAGATCTCTACAGGTGGTCCAGTTTAGCCAAAAGTGAATAGACGATACATGTACATTGACATGCATATCGTTTTCAGTAGAAGGTTTGCGAAGATTAAGGGGTCCGCGGACCCCGGAACCCCCAACCCCCTCCCCTGGATCCGCCCCTGTACAGGTCACATCATATGTAGACTCAATACAGGTGATAGGGTCTTCAGATCGGACTGGTCTCCCCCAAAACACGTGAACTTGTCTTCTACAGTAGTAGTAGTAGTAGTAGTAGTAGTAGTAGTAGTAGTAGTAGTAGTAGTAGTAGTAGTAGTAGTAGTAGTAGTAGTAGTAGTAGTAGTAGTAGTAGTAGTAGTAGTGGTAGTAGTAGTAGTAGTAGTAGTAGTAGTAGTAGTAGTAGTAGTAGTAGCAATGCCTTCAACAGCGTTAATCGTTCAGCGTACTTGTCCCGCTATGTCACTGATCGTGGGAAACACCTACCGAGAACCGATCCAGCTCTTCGTGACGGGTGGTGGTGAAGTTCAATCTCGTGAGGGTACATGCCAAGGCGACCCAATTGCCATGGCCATGTATGCACTAGCCATCATACCGCTTATCCATCGACTGCAGGAGCTTGTCCCAGATGCTGAGCAGTTATGGTATGCTGATGACGATTCCGCACTGGGACGTCTTCGTGCTCTACGCAAGTACTGGCGGAGTATCAGCAACCTGGGTCCGGTGTATGGGTACTTGCCCAACCCCACGAAGACGGTGCTCGTTGTGAAGCCGGAAGTCGAGGTGGAGGCCCGGGATCTTTTCCGGGATACCGGCGTCTCTATTCGGACGGACGGCGCTCGTTGCCTGGGTGGTGCCTTTGGCACAGTCGAGTTCTGTCGTGAGTTTCTGGATCAACGGGTTCAGGGACTCACAGCCCAGATGAATCGCTGTGGAGAGTACGCCGCTACCCAGCCTCATGCCAGCTACGCCGTTGCCGTAAGATCCCTGGTGCCAAGGTGGAAATTCATATCACGGGCCATGGAGTGCGGTCCGGAGGTGTTGGCACCCATTGACAGCAGTGTGACCGACAAGTTGTTACCTGCTGTCACCGGCCATCACTTCTCGGACGACTCCCCGCTGCGGCGTTTGCTGTCTCTGCCCTGTCGACGTGGTGGAATTGGGTTGCCAATTGCCTCGGTTGTTGCAGAGCATGAGCACCAGCGTGCCCTGCGTGCGACTGAGCCCATGCGGGATCTACTCCATCGCTCTCGCACTGAGCCTCGGAATATTGGAGCATCTCGAGATCCTCGGCCTGGGGATGACCATCCCATCCTCGCTGCCCTTGCCCTCGCACGGACTCGTGCTGTTGCCATGCGGCGGGAGCGGGACCGCCAAGCATCGGATCTGGCTGCTGCCGTTTCTCGTGAGCTATCGCCCCCGCAGCAGTTGTTGATCGAGATTGCGGGTGAGCCCGGCATATCGTCATGGCTGACGGCGGACCCGATGTCCCGGTACGGCACCGTGCTGAATTGCAATGACTTCAGAGACGCCCTCTGTATCCGTTATGACCTGGATCTCAGGGACACCGCGACAACCTGTGTGTGTGGTCACCCTGCCGTGCGGGATCACATGTTTGTATGCCCGACCGGCGGCTATCCTGGTGCGCGGCACGACAATATCCGTGATCTGCTCGCGGAGGTGTTGGTTGATGTCGCCCAGGACGTCGAAAAGGAGCCTAGGCTGGCGGCCATGCATGGGGAGGATTTACCCGGACGCCAGC